GCAATGATGAGAGTCACTCTTTTGTCCCATGCCAGCACACTGAAAACACATGGAGAAGAGGAAAGCAACAGTGCTACCCACTCATTGCTCCAAAGACTCAGGTTTACCATTTCTTTTGAAATGCCTCTCTGTGAGAGGTAGGTCTTCTCTGGGCACCTTCAGGCTACCCCTCCCTGTGCTCTGGCTTGGGAAGCTGATAGCTCCATGGCTGGTCCCCTATCTCTGCCTTCTGGTTGGATTTGGCCAGGGGATGAGGGGCATAGGGGCACACATTGGGAGTGGAGCCTGGCTCACTCCCTGTTGGCTTGGAATGAATCCACATTGGCAGCCACTGTCCCCTTTCAGGAGCAAGTGACTCCCCAGGGTGCTCCTCCAGTCTCCTTGGCTTCCCAAACACTGCCCTTGTCTCTGTAAATAGCCTGTTTATGAAACCCTTCTTGTGTTACCCAGTTTGGCTTCTACCGTATGTCTCCTGCTTGGACCCTGACTGATTCCTGCTCCGCATAGTGCTTTATATACAGAGCTCCTTGCTCAATGAAGGCTTGTTTAACTCAGTGCATGGGAGTGTCTTACTGTTCTGATGTGTTCAAAGACTGCTGATGCTAAAGTGACCCTCTGTCTCAGTTTGGGGCTGTGGAGCAGGGCTCCCAGGTTTCAGGGGGGATTTGTCATTTTATTTATTTATTTATAATAGAGGAATAACAATAATTGATGCATTGCATATTACTATCTTGAAAGTAGTTACTCAGAATACAAGATATGGGCATAAAAAATTCTCCAAACAATATTAGCACAAACCTTTCTTTTCAATAAACCAAGAGAAACTAGTAGTGTAACTGTCTTGTATTTTTTTCCTTTTCCCTTCCTTCCTTTCCCCTCCCCCACCCTAGTTCCTCTTTCCTTTTTGAACAATTTCTTCCCATTTCACAATATCTGTTGTACATTTTGGACTTCATTTACTCTTTTAGTTTCTCACACCAGGGAGATAATACGATGTGAATATGCACTTCTCAGATGAAGAAATACAAATGACAAATAAATATATGAAAAATGTTCAACATCACTGGTCATTCAAGAGATGCAAATTAAAACAACACTGGGACTTGTTATTTTAAAATAGAGACAATCCTTGGTAAATCAGGATGGATCAGTTACTGCAGCATGTACTGTTTTTTAAAAACTTTAATTGGTTTTAGAGGAACATTATCTTGTCTTTGAAATATTCCTATGATCATGTTTAAGGCAAAGTTGGTTTATTGAATAATAATACAATATTTTCCACTATCGATGACTGCGGGTCAGAGTCTCTTCCTAAGGGAAATTGCTGTAAACGTGTACTGTTGCTTTATGTCTAAATCTGTTCGCTGTGGGGAAGTCACCCAAAGGATGGATAAAACAGCAAATTGTGACAAGTAAGTGCTTACTAGGAAGGTTTGAACAAAGAATGACAAAGTGCCTCACAGTAAGAAAAAACAAAATGGGGATCTTTGAATATGGCTTTGAATTTAAAAATACATTTTTAGTGATCTCAACTGATACTTTCTCATTTCCCTGTCCTCCCTGCAGACTGTTATCCTGAGAGCAGGAGACATTTGCTTGTCACAAAGAGCATGGAAGTGTGTTACTAATTCCATTAATTGGTATATTTTTTAATTAGTTAATTAATTATGGTACTGGGGATAGAATCTAGGACCTTCTCACTGAGCTCTGAGCTACATCCCCACTTCTTTTTTATTTATTTACTTATTTTTCTTACTAAATTGCTACATTACTCAGTGTGGACTTGAATTTGTGATGCTCCTGCCTCAGCCTCCCAGAGTGCTGGGACTGAAGGCCAGTTCCATGGTGTATGGCTTTATTGGTATATTTTAATTTCTAAGAGACAGATCAGTTGGAAAGGAAAAGCAGAAATCTCAAACAGAGCTAACACCTTGAGAAGAAATATTTACATTGGGATAATAGTAGGAATATGTACCATATTCTATTTTTTCCATTAGAAATATATCTATTAAATGACAATATTAACAGCTACCATACTGCTTTAGTAAACAGGCTGCCTGGGAAGAGGAAGTTTAATTGGATTAAAAATCTGCCATGATCTGAGTGCTTTTCAATTCAAGATATTTTCCACTAGGGAAGCTTTTGACTATTCACTCCAGGAAGCCAGAATTTCCAATATGTATTCCTTTACCCCTGCCATTTAATATCAATTTTCTTGCTCTACTCTGCACCCCAAATCACTACAACTTCCTAAGAGTTTGACAAATTATTGAAAACAAATTAATGGTATTGGCTGTGGTTAGGTTGGGATTAACACTCGTCCCAGGTCCCTCAGGATGGTTCTCTTTGTTGTGTTTACCTTCTCCACAGGCAAACAACTTGTTATTCAGGGAAATGGCTGCTGTTAATATACTTGGCAATGATAAGATACCATAAATATGCATCGAAGATACTGACCTAAGTATGTTAAATTTAGTTCATTTTAACCGATGTTTATTGAATGCCTCCTGTACACAAGGAGAAAATATGTATCCTATATGTGATAGAAAATGAGATTTCTAGTAAGCTGACAATCTATTAGAACATCAAATTATTGGAAAGAAACCATCAGTATATATTCACTTTGGTTGTATTTAGAAAATAACAGATAGGTATATTTAGACCAAATTTTCAAGACTATATTCCCATTTTATTTTGCTATGTTATGAAATTTGTAAGAATTTGACTCAGTGTTTACAAGTGGTAAATTCTTTCCTTTGGAGAAGTGGGAGGATGGGGAATAAGATCCCAGAGGCCCACAGTAAACTCTCGTCAGCCCCCATGATTAGAAGTACAGATGTGAACGTTGCGAGCTTAGCTTGCAATGTTTGTGACTAACAAAGCCGCAGAGTTTAAGATGAGTGGACTTAGTAATCACTGGATCATAATCCTGAGTGACAATAACCATGGAAATGGATGGTGGGAAGAAATGGAGAGGCCAAGCCACTGTGAACACATTCTGTGGAACACAGTGGGGAGAGTTTGGTCCAAATCTGAGTTTTCTTTGATAGCAGACACAACTTTCTCCGTAATGGCGATAGAAGGCACTGAGGGGGAAGGTGTCAAGAGATCATGAAAACAAAAGTTCTGGCGACTGTTTACATGGAAAGATGATGCTCAGACAAGGTCCCGGAGGTCTCCCAGTGCAGATGGACAGGTTTCTGCTCTGAGGTCACAGTGCCTCCCCCTGTGCTAACTCGAGCACATCAGGTATCACCCCCCAAAGCAGTGCTGCTGCTTTCTTCATGGCAGTTTCATTCCTTTGGCTCTAGAAGTCATTTTTGAAGTAAAAATGGGGCATCCTCAGGATTATGGTGGTAGCTGATAGCTCAGGCCTCGCAAGGAAGGATGTGGCATGGATTGAAAGAGGGAGTACATGCTAGGTGAGAAGAACTCATGGGGAAGGCCAGCAGTCCAAAGTTTAAGGCACTTAAAGGTAAATTTTGTCTAAGGACAATATGTATTAATGGGGCTAAACACATTATTGACCCTGTAATCCTATTTCTATACATTTGTGTTGAGGGAAAACTCCTGATTGCATGCACAGGGGAACATATACAAGGATGTTTGTCATAGAAAAGTCTACAAGTAGTGTAAAAATGGAGATGACCTGCATATCAGTAAGGGTCGGAATAGTGTGCAGGAATCCAAAATGATGATATAGATGTAGACGTCAAAGATCACAGTCTCCCACTTGATAAAAAAGAAAATAATACCCATAGCTGTCTATAACATCATCTAATTTTTATTTTTAAAAAATATGCAAGTAGAAAACAGGAGCTGTATATGAGTACTAGTTTGTATTAATCACACAGAAAAGCTTGGTGTATAAACCAGGCAAGCTCTGGGTAGTGGAATATGGATTTTTTTACAAAAGCTTTTTTCATAAGATTAAAAGCAAAACCTCTACCAGTATTAGCTTAAAAATGAGAGAAATGACAGATATATAAAAATCCCCTTGTTTTTAAAGACAGGCATGTGGCTTTGTCTAAGCAGAAACCTCCGACGGCAGACCCCAAGTCACAGCTGTGGCAGGAAGTCTCTTCCCTGGGAAGTTAAAGCCCCCGCTGCTCTGGGCTGGGGAGACATGCAGCGAAGCATCCCTGCATGGAAGCAAGAGTCAGGGACCTGAGGACAGCCCTTCTCACTTGTCACTTTGGGCCCCTTGTCCCTGACTCATTCTCCTCTTCCAGGCCCCTGAAGCCTGCTTGACTTGCACTTGAGCTCCCACTGACTTGAACACAGCCTTCCCAGAATGGACCTTCAGGTCCCTGTCTGATGGGTTATAATTGTTCCCTCATTTGATCTCCCCCAGCTCTTTGTCCTTCTCTTGGGGCAGCTGCAGAAGACAAGCTCTTTGCCGTCCACCCTGGAGCACCCACCACGTGACTTTCTGATGGGCGGTACCCAGAAACATCACACAGGAAACACAGGAAAGAATGCGTGGATGACTTCGGGGTGGTAGCTCCCTGGGCATCCTGATGTGCTTGCTATTTGTTAGCAATGCGGAAAATCACTTCCACATTCCATCCAGCTCTGTCAAGAATCCAAGCATCCCTTTGCGAAGATAAGACAAAAAGCACTAGTGCTGCCTTCCCTGGTGCTTGTAAACACAAGGCGTGGGATGTGCTGTCACTTGACTTGGAGGAAGTGGAGCTTGGAGCCCAGCCAACTATGTCTTAGGTCATTAGAAGTTATTTAAAAGAACAACAGGAGAGGCCAAAGTCACTGTGCACCAACATGGAAGCTCTGGCTAGAAAAATTGAGAGAAGCCAGATGAGAGACTGTGAGAGAGAGAGTGTCAGGATAGCCACAGTGTGGTGACTGAAATACCAGGATGCTCACGCTGCAAAGGTTCTGAACACACGCCAGTAAAGTAAGTACTTTAAATAAAGGGAGGAGCCCTCTCAAACGCTGCCCCGCCGCATCAGAGTCAGTGCATTAAGAGCCCAAGATCTTACCATTGTTTCTCTCAGGAATGACTTTCTGGTAGGGCTCCTCCTTTTCCCAGTTCTTATTCTTGCTTTTCCCCAGTGCTGGCCTCCGTCCTGCCTGGAATGCCATAAAACTCCTCCGGGGTCTCTACGTCTGTGATCACCACCTGCAACTACAATCCCAGTAAGAGGAATTCACTACGGTGAATGGAGAAACATAGGCTCGTGCCATTTAACTACTTTCCTCAAGTGCATATTGAATTTGAGAGCCAGCCAGCATCTTGTGCTTTGCAGAGGAAGCCATAAATATCACGAAACACTGTGTCCCAAGGAACAACACATTTAAAAGTATAAAGGATAAAAAACAATGTTTAAAGTTGTCAAACTTGCTTTTCTTCACCTCAGTATATGCCAATATCCTGGTAGCTTGCAATGTATAATGATGGATTACAACCTATTTGAAAGAGTAAGGAAGCCAAGTGGCTTGATGTTTATCACAAGGGTTGGAGGACCAGGATTCAAAGTCATGAGAAAGTGACTGTGTCTATCTCAGGCCCCATCTTTACCTTCTCCAACAGACTGGAGGCCACCAGGATGATAAGAGGTGCTCCTGTCCTCATGAGGTCTACAGTCCAGGGAGGTAGACACATAAAGAACATCTTTAGGAAGCAAGGAGAGGAAGAAGTAGTGAGGTGTTCAGGTGGACCTGGGGAAATCCTGCATTCCTGGTGGGCAGAACCAGGGCACAGGGGCATGAAAAGCACAGGTGTCTTCAGCACAGTGAATGGTTTGGCATCAGAGATGATGTTAAAGAGTCTGTGCTTTGGGGATTTTAGATGAATTAAAAGCAGCTGAGATTATTTCCTTTGGCTTTTAACACACAAAGTGAAAATATTACTTATCTTTAACATTATTTTAACTGGTATCATACAGAGCTAAGCAGAACCTCAAGTTAGATGGTACATCTGGGTTGCTGTTGTCTACACAGGTAACTGAAGTCTCTCTAAACCAGGGAGCACATGAGTTCTCTGATAGCATCTGAGGTTTGTTGAGGGATGTGTGAGGCCATGCATTCTACACTGTGTTCCATGTAAGTGACAGCTGGTCTTTTAAGTTGTAGTCTAATTTGGGATCAGACGGGCATTTTCTGGAACTGCAGGGAATGTTCAGGGCAGCTGAAAGCTGACAACCTGGCATCTGGGGAGGATGACCCCTCCATCTGGGACTGACCAATAGCAATGTTGATCTTTGGGGTCCTGAACCGCAGTGCTGACATATTTATTGTGAGCTTGTTATATACCAGACATTGCACTGAGTACTGTACATGGATTCTTCAGTGCAGTGTTCACAACAAGGCTGCGAGTAGCAGCCTGTAATAATTCTTACTTAACAGATGAGGCATTGTAGATCATAGAGGTTATGTTTCCCAAAGTCACGTAGCAAGTGGTGGAGCTGGGACTTGAACCCAGGTACTCTGACGTTCTCTCCTTACACTGTCAAAACCTGATTTCACAAACGGCACCAGGTATGGATATCCACAGAGAGGCAGTGTGGTGTGGGGGTTATGGAGGTGGACCTTGAGTCTGTCCAGTGTGGTCTGAATGCTGGCTCTGTGTCTCTCTTGGGTGCCCAGACACATGTTCTCAGTCCCAAGCCTTCAATGTCTGCATCTGTAAGGTGCTGGTCACAGCCGTACACAGCTCCGTTTGCTGCAGGTATGGCATGAAAAGGCACGTACACAAGCCCTGGCACCTGGTGTGATTTTAATAGGTGCAAACTGCTGTTGCTATCCACAGGGAGCTGTGTGTGAATCCTGCAAGGCTGGGATATGTGTTTCACCAGCTATTATTTCAAACCAGAAAAAAAGGGAATTTAAAGCAGAGCTTTAATCTGCACTCAATTTTTAATTACTTAATTAACAGCAGAATATCTACTCAGTTATTCGAAGTTCAAATTAGGTCTAGAAAGTCAGGTTGCTTTAACCACTTGACAGGTGGAATTTCACTCACTGTAGGTTCTGTGGAGGAGCCCTGAGAAGGTGCAGGGAGGTCCTTTCTTGGCATCCAGAAGTTACCCATGCAGCCCGCCGTCTTGGGAGGGCAGCCTTTCCTTAGCCTCATGGCTCCAGGTGCCGCCTCTGGCTGCCCCTCGTGAAAGCTCGGCTAGGAATTACAGTGTAAGGAATAAGGGCAGAGAAGGATCACTTCTGGCAAGCAGCTTCTGGTGGTACCCAGCCCCTAGCTGGCTGTGTGATCTTCTCCCCAACTTCCTGATTTTAAGGTGAGACTTAGAAACCAGAGAACTGTGGAGGTCATTGTCATTGCTTGGCCCTCTTCATTCGACAGAGGTGGGAATGATGCTCCCTATCCACAGTGTGCAAGGTCATAGAGCACTCGGCAAAGGGCAGAGCCAGGAAAGAAATCCCTCTCCCCCTAGTTCTCACATCTTGGCTCGCTATCACAAATGGGTTGTGGATGATCGTCTGTGTCCTTTCATCCAGTTTCTCATATGGGAGCCACTATAAGCTCTAAAATCTGTATGCTCTAACTCTCCAAGTCTTTGTCCTACTGGAGACCCAAAAAGCGGTTCCAGGTGCAAGTGGGTGCTTGAATGAGAGGGAGGAGCCGGTATGGCGGGACATGGCGTGAGAGACCCACTGTGGGCAGCTGTCCTGGTCGCAAGTGTTCTTCAGCTGTGCTTGGGAAGGAGGCTGTTCCTGCCCACGGCTGCCCTGGGTCACCAACTGCTGCAAAGGAAGGTAGCAGCCACCTGTACGGTTCACCCTTTCCCTTCCTAATGTCCCTCAGCTTTGCTGGCGACCCTGCCGTCTTGCCCAGCAAGAAATTCAGGGGCAATTCTTGGCACCTCTCCATCTCATGGGAATGGAACTCACTTCATTGCCTGCCAAGGACTTGGGACAACAGAACCATTATTGCTGGGGTGCAGGATTCCAGTCCTCTCGCCGCCCCACGGTCCTAGCTGAATCCCTGGGGCCACTATTCTTTGGAGCTGTTCCGGTGAGAAGAACAGACTGAGCCTCTCCAGAAGCACCTTTGCCCTGGCTTCAGACTGGCTCACAGAGCTTGTTTCTCCCCAAGCTGGTGGCAGCAAGGTCTATTTCTACTTAAGCTGTTTTTTTTTTTTCTTTTCCACAGCACTGCTAGTCTGCCCTTTTTGTCCAATTTAGGATGGGTGCTTTCTCTATCCAACGCAGAGGACAGAAAACTCAGCGTTTAGTGTGAGTACTCTGTGACCTTGGGCACTGCGGATATGCTGCATCATTCCCACGTCTGTCAAATGAAGAGGGTCCGAGGCAAGGCTAGAAATGCTCTCACAGGTCCACATGACGGGTAGCTCTTGGGGGAAAGAGTCTCACAGAACAGTCCTGGGCCTGCATTTCCCTGAGTGCTGTGGTTCTGTGATATTCTCTGGGCTCTGTTACCAAACCCAGCAGGCCAGTGACCTGTCACTGAGAAGCAGTGCTCAGCGTGCATTCGGTGAGAGCAGAGGGCCTCTGCCCTCTCTTGAGGAGAAATCCAAGGAGAGGAGGAGGAAAAGAGATCGCCGTGATCAAGCTTCCATGAACTGGAGACCAGCAGATTGGTGTCCTTTCTAGCTTGGTTCACTAAGAGTGTGCAGCCTTCCTATTTCCTCGTTTCTTCCTTTGTAACAGGAGCGGGCTGGGATGAAGGGCCCCTTCTAAAGAAAGCATTCATTAGCACTCCGTCTCTCCTCCACTAGGCTGGGGGCTGGGCTGGAGGCAAGAGGTGTGGAATCTTCAGCTCTCAAGGATTTCATGCCTCGGGCACACAAGGATGTGCGTGGACCCATGTTGGTTCCGAGTCCACTGTGCGGGAGTTTGTGTTGATTGGTTTATTCTTTTTTCTCTTATTGCATATATTTAAGGTGCACAAGATATTTTGGTGCACATATATACAGGGAAATAATAACTGTTTAAATCAATGACTGTATCTTTCTCCTGACATCATTACCTTTTTTGGTGTGTGCGACGGGGACACCTGAAATCTACCGTGTTAGCAAATTTCAGTATGTAATACAATTGTGTAGTTACCATGCCTACTTCAATCTAGAAGAATTTAGGATGAGAACAGAGGAATGGGAATCTTCGTAGGGGAGGTAAGGGCCTTAAAGGATGGGTAGGGTGCACTCCTGGGAAGGGGACAAAAGAAACTCTAGGTGGAAGGGACAGAGAATAAAGACAGGAGTGCAGGGCACCCGTGGGACCCGGAAGAGACCCGGTAGCGGAGAAGTCTATTGGAAGAAGTGGGAAATACATCGGATGGGGCCATTCTGCAAGGTCTCCAAAGCCAGACATTCAGGTCCTTCTTTCCTCCACTGTTTATTCATCTTGTTCTGAGTGTCTCCTATGTAAATCATCCGGAGTCGCTGGCTAAGAAGATTTAGGAGTAGCACATGCACTGAAAGTTGTGTTTTAAAAAGATTCACTGGTTTTTGGGGTTACAGTTTAGAGGTAAGATCCATCAAATTAAAAGGGACCAAGCAGGCAGTGGCTCTTAACTGTGGTAACACACTGAAAAGTTATGGATGCCTTGACCCTGTCCCAAGAAACTCTGATTCATTTGGTCGTGGGAGGGGAGCTGAGCATAGTACTGTTCTCCCTGCTTCTTTCTCTCCCTCTCCCTTCTTTTCTCCTTGCCTTCCTTCCTCCCATCTCTTTCTGCAGCTACTTGGGTGTGATAAAGCCCTGAAATAAAATGGTAGCAATTAAAATGGAGATGAAATGAACACAAAGAGACCTTTTAAAGGCAAGAAGAGAGAAAAGAATGAAAAAAAAAAAAAAGAGCCAGGTATCTTGACAGATGAAACAGCAAGAATAGAGATTCTATTCATTTCTTTAAAATACTGGTGGAGCCATTACATACGACTTGTACTTAGTCAGCAGTTTGTGAACTGCAGAGGGTAAATCCTTGGTCCTGCCTTCAAGGGGCCTTTATTTAGTAGATCAAGAAACTACAGCAGCAGGAGAGCACGGGAACTGGCACAAGGCCCTGTTTCCTTAAAGTGTTGGTACAAAGAGGAGAAAGTCAGAGGAGAGAATGAAGGAAGACTCCATCCACAACACTGCCATTTAGTTGCAAGTTTCTGGGCAGGTGTAGGTGGGAAAAGGACCTCTTGTATGAGGAGTCAGGAAGTGTTAGGTGAGGAGGGTCAGAGACAGACGAGTAATGGACAGCAGAATTAATAATGGCAAAGAGCAACTATGCTACAAAGCGTAGGGGTGTGTAAGTCTTGGTGGAGAAGGTGGATTGCTAAAAACAAAGCCTTAACAGTTGGGCTGAGGTTGATTTTTATTTTATTTTATCTATTTATTTTTTTGAGACAGGGTCTGTCTATGAAGTACAGACTGGCCTTGCTTGAAGTCACTATGTATTTCTTGACATTAATAGTGGTTATATGCATGTTTACTTTATAAGTATTTATTTAGATTTATAGATAAGCTTTACAAACTTTCTGCATGTATATTATATTTCATAGCTTAAAAATGTTTAAATAGTTGACAATATAATTGTCATAATACATCTTGAACTGTATCAAATAAAATAATTAGGAAATATATATATATAAATTAACAATTATAAAAAAAATTATAGTTGGAAATGTTGTGACATGCATCTTTAAGAGCTATGGATCAACTAGAAATAAAATACAATAAAAATATATCAAAGATAGACAGAAAACACTCCTTTTTGAACATACCTAGAAACATTACAATAATAGCCCATGTATTAGACCATAAAGGAAGTTTCAATTTTGGGCCAGGGACATAGCTCAGCAGCATAAGCATCTGCCTGGCAAGTACAAAGTCCTGAGTTCAATTCCTGGTACCAAAAAAGAAAAAGGAAGTTTCAATAAATTCCAGAGAATCGTATTCAGACAATGCTTTCCAACTATAATGCCATCATAGAATTATCATGTTTTGTGAAAGAAAAATGAAGCCCTATGTTTTTAGAAACTACATAATATTAAATAACACTATGTAGTTATGTATGGGTTAAAAAAATATTTAGAACTAAGTGAAACAAGCCGGGTGTGGTGGTGCATGCCTGTAACCTCAGCACTCAGGAGGATGAGGCAGGGGGATCACCGTGAGTTGAGGCCAGCCTGGGCTACATAGTGAACTCAAGGCCAGCCTGCATAACATAGCGAGACTGTCTAAACAAACAAATAAACAAACAAACAAAAACAAAAAACTGAGTAAAACATTGCACATTAGAATTTGTGTAACGCTGCTGAAGCAGTACTTATGGGCAAATGGATAGCTTCATATACACCAAGAACAGGGAACATTCAGCACAAATGAGCCACCATAGTCCGATCCTGCCTTACATTCCTTAGGGTCATGACTGTTGAACAACCCAAACATAGCAACTGTTTCAAGAACCAGCCTAACTTTAATCAAGGTGCTATTTAATACCATAAACAGCACTCATTTTAAAAGTTTTTTTTAAGGTCTTGAACGCACAGGTAAAGAATTCAGAGGTCCAGAGGTTATGGGATACAACACAGTTGTTTTTCATATTTCAGTGTAGGGGTCAAGCACAGGGCTTTGTACATACTAGGCAAGTGCGTACCATTGAGCTACATCCCAACCCTACCTAAAGAACCTAACTGTCTTGGGACTGAACGAACAGCTCTGTCATTTGCTTGCTATGTGATCCCGAACACACAGTGTGAGTCTCAGGGTCTCATATCCTCATTTATGATGGTGATGAGAATAGATCCCTGAACTATTTGGAAAAAGTCAAATAAAGTATTGTAAGCAAAATGCTGGGCTCCTCAGAATGACTGAAGAAGTGTTTCACTTTCCATTTTACTCATGAGAACCATCAGGGGTGGGACCATGGGCTGCATTTTTCAGAACCCAGGTGATTCGGACAGTTCTGATTAGCAAGGGCAGTGGCAGCCAGGGCCGACTTCTGAGCAGGGAATAGCCTAATTAGAGTTCTCTGTGGGACTGGGATTCTTTCTGGGCCTCTTTCATCTTTGTTTCCCAGCTGACATACTAATGTTGCTGGTAGCAGCAATTTGGGAAAGGTCTGGGCATTCCAGTTGACTCTGGGGTGCAGAACTCATGATTACTAGTGCTCTTCTTGGGGGGTGGCTGGTGATATAGTTCACAGCTTTCACCTCCTTTAGGATCTGCTAGCCTGGGACCCACAACCACTCATTAGTTTAGATCTCATTCTTAGTACAAATCTCCACCCTCAAGTTCTGATTCTTCTAATTTATAGTTTGAACTGCTAGGCAGTGTAGGAATGAACACAAATCCATAAAGCTATCAAATAACATGACCGAGTAGTTTAGGAAGGTTATCAGAAGAGGGAGGGCACAGAATTGTTGCTTATCTTTCTTGGATACCAGACTTTTTGGGAAAAACACTGTCTCAGAGGACTTAATGCTGGCTACCTGTCATGGTATTGCACGAGGCTATCTGCTGTCATAACTTGAAAGAAGGAGCAAAATATCCTTGGCTGGCAGGCAGAAGGCTTTGGAATCTTGTTTTGTTCTCAGTAGGCTTGCATGGACTTACTCATCTTGAAATTAGGTACATGGTTCTGTGAAAGTCATGAAGGGGAATTAAATAGGCAATGAGGTCAGAAAGGGTTTGCACAGAGCAGATTCTTGCTCTCATGCTGGGAAAGGAGAAGATGACTAGGGGAGGGGTGGCTGGGTCAGAGGCTGGAGGTAGCAGGGTACATGGGAAGTACTGTTCCACACGAGCAAAGCAAAGAGTGTGGAAAACTTGAGACATAACTGACATTGTACTTGATGAGGCTGGAGAGACTGGTAAGGAAAGGACTGAGCCCGTGCAGCCACTGGAACTTTGCCTTTATTCTAAAATCAATAAGGTGGTATGGAAACCTTTTTACTGCAGAGAGGTATAATAAATCAGATTTTCATTGTGAAAATATCATTTGGTTACCGTGCAAAGATTACAGGGGGGCTCATAATATTTGGGGAAGCAGTTCAGGTGAGAGATGATGGGAAATTGGTGACTTGATGGGCCAGAGATGGAAGTGAACCAAAGGCAGAGAGTTTAGAGAACCAGACTTGCTGATGGGATAGAAATGACAGTGTGAATCAGTGGATGGTATTAAGTTGGATTCCTAGGATTCAGACCTTCTGGGGGTTCTGAATGGATGGTGATACCATGTACTGCATTAGAGAAGCTTGAAGAGGGTATACTTTTTTGTTTTGCACTGGGGACTGAAGCCCGGGGCTTTGCACTGAGCTACATTCCCAGACCTTTTTTAATTTTTATTTTGAGACAGTCTCATTAAATCACTAAGCTGTCCACGCTAGCTTGAATTTATGATCCTCCTACTTCAGCCTCCAGAATTATAGTATATGGCACCATGCCTGGTCAAAGGGGGGAAGACAAGGGTTCCCTTTAGAACATCCAGTGTTTGAGATGCCTCTGAGACATCTTAAGGGAGCTATCAAGCAGCTGATTGGATATATGAGTCAATGAGCTGAATTGATTCACATATGAATCAGAGCTGGACATACAATTGTATGAATCATTATTCACTTATAGGTGGTGACCATGGTGTTCTGCCAGCAATTCAACTCCATTGGCCAAAAATGAGATGTCTTACCTTTCCTCCAAATATGCCTAACCTGGTGTGCATGACACAATCATTCTTTTAGTCATTTGCCCTAAAATATGGAAATAATTTTGCACTTCTCCATTTCTTCTATCCCTAAATCTAATTAATCATAAATTCTAGGGTTTTCTCTTTTTGAATGTCTTTTGCATCTTCCCTTTAAAATTTTTTTCAACCTAAAACCCTTAGATAGAATACCTGGTAGTTGGACCCTATATTTCACCTCCCAGCTCTGTGGTCCACTCTGACCACTGTGACCAAGTTAGTCTCTCTTAAACATTTCTTTCACCACTTTATTCTTCCCACAAAAATCTGTGGGTGGCTTCTGATTGGTCTGAGATGAAAATATTTTCTCCTTAGTTTAGAATTCAAGGCCTTCTGCCATCTGTCCCCAATCTACTTCACCACTCTCTGTTCTATAGGATAGTTTTTTTTTCTTTCAGTGTGGGGGATTGAACCCAAGGCCTCATGCACACTAAGCAAACACTCCAGCTGAGCTACATCTCCAGCCCTCACAGGGTTTAAAAATTCTTTCAAAGTTTCAGAACCATTTGTTCAAATGGGATCTTATTTTTTAAAAGAAAGGCAGCTCCATAAATGAAGCATGTGTGGGTGGAACTTTTGGTTGGTGTGAGGTAGGGCTCTCGACTGATTTCATCTGCCTTCCCACTTCCACCTTTCCATGCCTACCTGGCTTGTCCCCTGAGATGAGTCTCTTTAGAACATCCTTCACAATCCATCTCCTTCAGGGAGTGCTCTTGGGTGAACATAGGTACTGTCCTCAAGGAATAAGTGAATCACTAAGTTCATGGTAAGTTTTCCTCCACTGGGCCTCTAGGCTGCCTCCCTCTTGGTTACTGGCTCATCAAGCTGGGACTCTGCCTCATAAACACCCCCTTTGTGACATAATGTTCACAAGCTCAGCCACACCCCTGTAGCAAGTACAGCAGGACTTTTTGAATCACACGGCTTCTTGTAGCTTCCTTTGAGAAGCAAAGGGCATCACAACAAATCATAGCCCAGTTTCACAAGACAAGCAAGTCCTTGGCCTGATTTCATCTAGAAAATATTATGTACAGAGCAGTGGTTTCCAAACCTGGAGATGGGGACCTGAACTCAATATCTACAGATAGCCCCTTGCATTCAGAACCAGTAAAGCACTGAAGTAAAACACTAGGAGACACTTAAGAGGGATGGAGATTTTGTGTTGAGTCCAGGCGTGCTGAAAGGATGGTGACACCCAGTGATAATAAGGTGTGCTGTGTTCTCTCTAGATATCACATTACAGGAAGGAATGTAAGAGCTGTGAGTGCAGAAGTAGGTGGTCGGGGTCAGCTTGCTTCCCATTTTGAGCAGATGGAGTTTAAAAACCTGTGGGCAATGAGGAGCAGGTTTTTGGCTGGTCACTGGACATCTGAGTCTGGGTCTTAAGGATGAATTGAGAGCGAGGATGATGTAAGTTGTAGAGTGTGACCTGGTTAGGGTAGAGTGTCCACTTGACTAATTTTGAGATCCATGCTAGGGGTTGGTGGAGCACACATCCACATATGTCTGGGTGGGTCATGTCTGTCCTTCCCTGGGGAACTTCTAGAGCTGTACTGGATGTAGATTATTGGTGCTCAAACAGGTAAAAGAAATAATGGGCAAAGGACACATTGTGTATGCAAAAGGGGTAGAAGTGCACTGATAGAGTCAATATTAATCACAGAGGTGTATTGATAGTGATATCATCAGGTGTAAAACTTGGGCTCACTAGGGCCGAATAGAAAAATGGGCTCATGAGAAACAGAAAGGAGAGAGGTGTACTGATTTTATCAGTTGTTAAGCATGGGGCAAACAGATTCTCCAGAACTAAAATGTATATGGAACTGTGTATTGTATTCTTAATTCCTGTATTTGCTTTTGTGAATTTGCATTAGGGAGTGCCTTAATTGTCATAAGTTTGTTGGAATGACCACAAAGGTTTTGGCTTGGAGTACTATTTTAAAATCAAGTCCTGAGTGGGAAAAAGATGGTGGAATAACAGCCACCCTGATAACCTTAACTGAGCCAAAAGCAGCAATTCCTACCTTTCCAGCTCAGTGAAATTTTGCAGCATCACAAGTTGGAACTTCTGCCTCTCAGGGAATAGAGGCATTTTCTCTCTCTCCCTTGCAATTGGCACTAAAAGAAGCCCTGATGGGTGTGGGATTCCATGAAGGTTTTTCAACATGTCTACCCTGTTGCTGAAGTTCAAGTTCCCAATAACTGGGGACAAGTTATATGTCTTCATGAAGCTGTACCCTTTAAGATCTTATAAGAATAAAAACAAGCCACTGCTACCTATGGCCCTATGGCCGCTTGTACCTTAGGTTTAATAGACTTATAAGACAACAGATTATGGCCCCAAATGATGGGAAAGGATTAACTAAAGCATGTTAAATCTGATTATTTGTTGTGGAAAGGATTTTCTTTTGAATTGTGTGTGGATCAGGCCACTCACAATGCCACTCACAACATAGCCATTACAAAAGACATGTGAACTGGGGAAGGTGCCTTTGCTGACACAAATAGTCAACTTACTTTTGAATTATTAGTATATGAACAAATTAAAATAGTTGCCAAAAAGCCTTGGAGGAAACTTCCTTCAAAGTGTGAGACATCCCTTGATTTGACTTCCATTCACCAGGGTTCTGATGAAACTGTTCAAGATTTTGCAGCATATTTATTGTAGGCCAGTGGGAGGATGATAAGTGACACAGAGCCTAGCAAGTTAATTGTTCAACTGTTGGCCTTTGAAAATGCAAATAAATGATGTAAAGAGGCTTTAGGAGCCCGCAAAAAACAGGATACACTGACTTAGATGAGTCATATTTGTGTAGACATTGGACCTTCGTATGTGGAGGGAGCAGCATCTCTCACTCAGGTTATTCATCCACAGCCTAGAGGAAAGAAAAAAAAACAGGGTTAATTGTTTCAGCTGTGGGGATGGGGGCCAATTTTTCAAAGATTGCCCTGGTGCACCTGTAGGGGTAGCACAACTGTTATCTGTCCCTTCAACAAAACCTTGTATTATCTGTCCAAAGTATAGATGAGGGTGTCATTGGGCAAATGAGAGTAGATCTAAAACTAATGTGGAAGACTAACCAATTGTGGGAAACTTCCTGTGAGGCCTCCTCTGGTCCCTCCAAACAGTAGGGGCACTTCCCCTAAATCCTCGCCAGCCCTACTGTCCAATGCCAAGCATGTTTATGACCTTTGCTCAGTGACATAAGACAGTGGAGGCTTGGATCTCAGTCTCGTCTCCAGATTCATACTAGCTCCTGAAATGGGATCCCAAGCTATTCCTACTGGAGGCTATGGACCTTTGCTTCATGGAAGGATAAGTCTCCTGCTAGGCTGCAGCAGTCATACTTTAAAAGGTGACACCAGGTGTTGCCTGGTGTCACTGATGCTGAGTATACAGGAGAAATTAATGTCATGGTTCAATCTATTTGAAACACTGTTCAAGTCACACCAGACTATCTACTATTCAATTGCTCATTCTTCCCTTGACAAAAATGGAAAAATCTATAAATAAGGAAAGGGGATCCAATGGCTTTGGGTCCTCTGGTACGTACTGAATTCGACAGATTAAATAAGATTGTTCTGAGATGGAATTGATTATTGGAGGAAAAACATTTAAAGGGGTTTTAGGCACAGGTGCTGATGTTTCAGTTATTGCCTAACATCACTAACTTATGGCATGGCCTCTGGATGTGGCAATTACAGATCTATGGGGGGTGGATGTCACCCTAGTAGAAGTGCTAAATTGTTAACTTGGAGGGATGAAGAAGGCCATTCTGCACACTTTTCACCTTATGTCCTCCCCCACATATCAGTCATTCTGTGGGGTCATGATGTATTACAGGATATGGGGGCATTTGGTTTAGTCCTGTCTCTTTGGTGACTCATCAGATGTTGCAAGGAGATTTCTGTATCACTCAAGGACTTAGTAAAAACAATCAAGGAAGAAAAGAACCTTTTCCAGTTATTCCTAAAGGGGACCATTTCTGTATAGGCTACTTGCCTTCACATTTTCAGGGGGACCTTAATCTCTTTTGTGACTGCATGGACAGTATCCAAGTTAATTTGGATGTCTGCTGACTGTGTTTGGGTTGATCAATGGCCCCTCACTAAGGAGAAGCTTACAGTAGCTCATACACTGGTTAATGAATCCATGATGGCGGAGCACCTAGAATCCTCCAATAGCCCTTGGAATACCCTAATTTTTGTAATAAAAAATAAGTCAGGAAGGTGGAGATTACTACAGGATTTGTGGACTGTTAATCATACCATGGAACCTATGGGAGCACTTCAACCAGTATTGCTTAGTCCTGTAGCTATTCCTTTGCATTTTCCCCTCATGGTGATTTAAAAGACTTTTTTTTTTCACTGTCCCTCTCCATCTTCAAGATAAAAGATGTTTTACCTTTAGTTTACCTTCTATTAACCATTAGGCCTCTATGTTCCACTTTCAATGGTGTTGTCTGTCACAAGGAATGGCAAATAGTCCGACCCTATGTCAAGAGTTTGTGGCTGTAGCCACTTTGTCAGTCCATCAGGCTCATCCGTCTGCTCATCTTATCCACTACATGGATGATATTCTTGTAGCACATGAAACCTCATCCATCTTGCACCAAGTATTTATTCGATTAGATAATGCCCTTCATATTGCAGGCCTAGTGGTGGCCCCTGGAAAGATGCCAAACATAGCACCTTTTTCATATTTGGGTCACCTTATCCAACAGAGACATATTGTGCCCCAAACTGTTCAGATGCAGGTTAATCATCCTGCAACCCTAACTGATTTTCAGACTCTACTTGGTAATATTAATTGGCTCTGCCTATCTCTTAAGCTAACAGCTCATGATTTAGCCCCTCTCTTTGACATTCTCAAGGGGGACCTGGCCCCCATATCTCCAAAAGTACTTACATCAGAGGCTAAAACTACCTTGGGTAAAGTTAATCTGGCTCTCTCTAATGCTCAACTCTAGAGCTGACCCAACTTTGCCAGTGTTTTTAATTATTTTCCCCACTCAATGTATGCCCACTGGGCTCTTTTGGCAGTGCTTCTATGCCCACTTTGGCCCTTTACAATGGTTACATATGCCTCATGCTCCACATCAAACCATTACTCCCTTTTATGATGCTGTGGCAGGACTGGTCGCATGTGGGTGGGCATGTTCTATTTAGCTTTTTGGACATGGGGTGCAAAATATTATTGTTATTGTTCCCATTTCTTTAGTTCAACAACAGTGGTTATTATGACAGTTATTCTCTTGGCAAACTGCATTAGCTAGCTTCCCTGGTGTTATTCATTGTCATTATCCTCTAGATAAATTAATTCAATTTGCTTCTTTCACATCCTTTGTCTTCCCTTCAAAACTAAGCTCAGTTCCCATAGCTAGAGGTGTCTCTGTTTTCACAGATGTGCCTCCTCAGGCAGAGGAGGTTAGGTTATGGCCTCCTTTATGCAGTTGTTTTTATTTTTTTTTAATTTTTTTATTTTTATTTTTTTTTTGGTTTTTCTCCGGTACCGGGAACTGAACTCATGACCTTCCGCTTGCCAGGCAGGCACTTTTGCCGCTGAGCTAAATCCCCAGCCCCTATGCAGTTGTTTTTAATATGGCTCATTTTGTTTATTTTAGTTTGTTTTAAGTTGTGGGGATTGTTTTATTTTTTCTTTAGAATTTAGATGATTTGAATATATGTAAATAATTATATGTTTCAAAAGTTAAAACTGAAAATGTATACTTAGAGGAACTTATTTTCAATCCCCTCTCTCCAATTCTGCTCCTTCCCTATGGATAATCATTTTTACCAGTTTTGAAGTTATTCTTTTT